CACTTTTAAATTGGATTATTTCTTTTTATTATTGAGGTATTGTTGTTTTCTGTATATTTTAGAGGTTAGCCCCACGTTCGTTGTGTCATTACTAAAGATTTCCGCTAGTCTGTGGGTTCGCTTTTACTCTTTGATGAAGTCTTTTCATGCAAATAAGTTTCTTATTTTTAGTGGATCCCAGTCACCCATTTTGTCTTCTACTGTGTGTGCTTCCTTGTTATGTTTGGCAGTATGTCTATTCTCTACAACAAGGTCCTTAAATTTGTCTCCATTTTCTCACTGATGTTCTTTGTAGCTCTGGAATTTGCATTTAGGTCTTTGATCCATCTTGAGTTGTGGTGTGGTTCCTGTTTCATCCTTCTGCAGGTGGATATCCAATTTTGCTGTCACTCTTTGTTGAAAATATTATCTCTGTTCTCATTTAATAGTTTTTTGTTAAAAACCAATTGTAGGTAGATACTTGTGGGTTATTTCATGAAGTAGTTCTGTCTTTGGCCACAAGGTGGCACATCGTATCTCTTTCCTAAATATTCTCCAATTAGATTTAATTTTGCAAAAATAAAATAGTAATATGCCTTACATTTAGAGAATTATGACACTTTGATTCTTGATTCTACTTAAAATATACATCAGCACAAAAAATACTGGAAAGATATCCTCAGTTGCATTTGCTAACACTTCCTCAATTTATATTTCATGTATTTACTTATTAAACAAATATCAACTTGATGCCTACTATATGTCAGATAATGTTAGCTAAAATCCATTTATCCATCCAAGACTTCTCTTCTGAGACCCTATATCTAACTGCCTGCTATAATTATCTACGTGGAAAGATAAATATTATTATCCAACTACATAGACATGACCCTGCATTGATACATACTCATCACTCTTATCCATTGTCCCTGAATTCTCAGAGGTTCTCCATGTAAAGTGGAAACAGGCAGGTAAACATAGGTTTTTAAATCAGCAAAACTCGTATTCAGTTATTTTCTTATTTCTGACCCCTATAACTTACTAATAGTCATTTTGGTAATGCAGGAGGTAGATTTATAATATCAGACTTCAACTACACTAGATACCTATATAATCTAAGGATTGAAGGTAAAAATCACCATTATGCATTTAATATCCATTGCTATAGATGGCTTCGAAGAGCTATTTCTCTCTTTTTTTGGCATTTATTGAGCTCCTGTTGTGCCCTGGAACTTGGCTACATCCTGAGAGCTAGCATTGGAAAAAATGAAGTTTCTGCTTTCGTGATGCTTATATTCAGATTTACACACACACACACACACACACACACACACATGCTCTCCTTTTTTTCCAAACTATTTTATTGGGAGTTAATCAAGACATCATACCATTCCATCATTCAATTATATCAAGCAGTGTTGTACAATTGGTACCAAAATCAGTGTCAAAACCTTTTCTTTCGTCTTAAACTGCTGCATATCTGCTCCCCCTGACCCCTCCCCCATTTTCCCCACTGTACCCTCCAGGAACCCTTATTCTAGTTGTCGTCTCCATAGGTTCATACACCAAAAACCAGAAAAATACAAAACCAAGATTCAAGAAGGCTGCCCTCTAATGACAAAATACAACAGAGATAAACTCCAATATGAAGAAAAAATAAAATATTAACAACCAGATCAAGCTCAAAATGTATCAGCAGGGCGATCAAGTGACAAGGTTTGATTTAACCGTTCAAGTCCGATTCATCATGTTCATCTACTATAGTCGTCTCTCCAATACTGTGTCTGATCACCAGGTTATTCCCATCCCTCAATTATGATTAGAGGGGAATCACCAGAGGCTTATTTCCTGAGAAGATCCTGCGAATGTATTTTGGGCTCCCACTGTCACCCATGGCTTTCTACTACCAGAATCTCACAATTTAAGCTCTAAGATGATTCCCCTTCTTCAAAATTTGATTATATAATTTACAATCCTTGCAAGTCTCTCTTTTTAATGAAGTATAATGTTCAGGCGTATGCAGTTAGATGAGTGTTAAATAGGCCATTTCCATCACATCAGAAAGTTTACCATCCCTCTTCCCAACCATCACCCCAAGTAACCACTGAGCTGACTTCTGTCAATGAGAGTTAGTTTTTGGTTGTAGAACTTGATATAAGGGAAATCAGTCCGTAAATATTCTTGTGTCTATAATCTGTCCCTCATTATAATGCCTTTAAAGATTCATCTTCAAAGTCTTTATGGATTGTAATTCCTTTTTTATTGTTGCATAGTGTGAATATACAACGCTCTGTTTATCCATTTAGAAAGTGTTAGAGGGGTTGTTTCCATTTTCATCCATTATAAATCTAGCATCTATGAACATGTTTCTTCAAGTCTTTTTGTTCATATGTGTTCTGACTACTCTGGCGTAAATATCTACAGAGGGAATTGTTAGGTCACAAAAAAGGTGAACACTTACTTTTCAAGAAAAATTACCAGTTTTTCAAAGGGACTGTTCCATTTACTGATCATATCAGCAAGGTTTCCATTGTTCCACATCCTGGACTAAATATCAATGCCAGGAGAAAAAGTTGGAGAAACTTGTCTAGATTTAAAGACATATCAACCAAAGGCAATACTTGATTGATGCTGTCAATTGATTAATAGTATTGTATCTGAAGTAAATTTCCTGAATGTGATCATTATACTGTGCTTGTTAGGAGTGATCTTGCTGTTGGAAGATAACATGCTTAAGTATTATGATAGCTACAACAAGCTTTAAAATGGTTCATCAATAAAAGAAGCACACACAGGGGACATTAACTAGGGGTCTAGTCTCTGCGCATGGTTGACTGCAGACAAAACATGTGTAAATATGGCTCTGCAGATAATTGATGGCTGCAGACAAGTTCTCTCAATAATGCACGTCTTAGACTTGTTAGGGTACCTTCAGGAAAATCAATAAATAAACCAACGCCAATGAGTCCATTACAACTTAAAGCAACCCTGTATAGGGCATCTGAGGCTGTAAATCTTTTGGGGAGCAGAGAACCTCATCTCTCTGCCACATAATTGCTGGTGTGTTTGAACCGCCAAGCTAGCATTTCACAGTACAGTACTCACACTTACCTGACAGCACCAAAACTGTGGCTTTTGCTGGACCAGATCAATTTACAGCAGAGCTGTCAGCTCAAGCGGTTATGGTGATTTTTCTGGGGTCAAAGATCATCTCAGAGGACACAGAACAATCCTAGGGGCTTATTAGAAAGCGTTGAAGAAAATTACGGACTGCAATTGGCAATTTTTAAAAGGGCAGGAAAGTTGTGCTGAGGAAATTTTTCCCGTCACAGCAATGTACCTGCTCATGTTTTGAGGCTAGCAAGGGTGGTTCTAGGAGGATTTCAATGTGAACCTTTACCCTAGCCACCCTACAGTCCTGCCATTCCCCTTCAGACTTCTTTTTGTTCATCAAACTCAAAGAACATTGAAAAGGAATACATTTCTGTCCTTTGAAGGTGCCCGAACTGCCATGTTGAGATGGGACAAATCAAAGTACCTCACCTTCAGAAGACAAGCACCCTGAACTAAGAATCGGGTGTTGGGGGCCCAGGAAGCTGGGCTCTGCTCCCAACTCTACCACTAACTGGCTATGTACTTTAGGAAAATCATTGTCCTACCCATATTCCTCATCTGTGAAAAGACGTGGAACTGAACAAGTGACTTTCACATTTTTGACGGTGACCCACAGTGAGAAATGTATTTTCTAAGGACACCATTCTTCCTAAGTTTAAAACCTAAGTGTCCCAAAAGAACGATCAATATCATTCAAGGGTGAGGGACTCTTGACACGTGTGTGCTGTTTTAATTGCTGGTTATGACCCACAAACTTAGCTGCCCACATCACAATGGATGGTGACCAAAGCTTTAGATTTTTGTCTACTCTAATTTCTAAAAATTAAAATGCCTGTACTGGAAATACAGAGCCCTGGTGGTGCTATTAAAAACTGGACTGTTAACCTCAAGGTCCATGGTTCAAACTCACCAGCTGCTCCACGGGAGAAAAAAAAAGGCCTCTGTAGAGGGAACTGATTACAAGGAACTATATGTGACCTCCTCCCTGGGGGACAGACGACCGAAAAGTGGGTGAAGGGAGACGTCGGACAGGGCAAGATATGACAAAATACCAATTTATAAACTATCAAGGGCTCATGAGGGAGGAGGGAGCGGGGAGGGAGGGGAAAAATGAGGACCTAATGTCGGGGGTTTAAGTGGAAAGAAAATGTTTTGAGAATGATGTACAAATGCGCTTTACACAATTGATGTGTGTATGGATAGCAATAACAGTTGTATGAGCCCCTAATAAAATGTTTTAAAAAAATGTACAACCTTGGAAACCCTACATCATCACTATGAGTCAATGTTGGGGTTTACTGGAAATAAGGGAAAATGAAGATACTGCATCCACGGCCTTGGTATCCTGCATCTGTAGATGACAAGGCACCATAGAAAAGGGCATACGCTAGATTCCCCCTCACAAGATACACAGCAGAGTGTAGCCTAGGTACTTATCTTCTCTAAACTCCAGTGGCCTCATCTGGTAAGGTAAAGACCAGACAGACATTGACAGATCAAATAAAATGCAGAGGGTGATCCTGAGGGGCCAAAAACTTCAGGTCCCCCTGGCATATGTGGCCTTCAGGCACAATTTGCTTGTCCTCTCAGGACACACCCTCCAGCTTGTCGCTATCCCCACCACTCCATTGGTCAATCTATATTAAGGTCTTATGCTTTTCCTTTTTGATGTTTTGCTCACTGAACTTGAATATTCATTCTAGCAGACTCTAAGAAACCAGGACCTACATTCTGAAAATGATTGTCAGATGTAGAATTCTGGGTACAAATGTTCCTGATTGGTTGAGCACAAAAATAATGGTCAAATAGATTTGAGATTGAGTCCAGGGAACAGGCAGTTAGCCAAACAGAAAAAAGGCAGGGGGGGGGGGCTGCTGGAAAGGAAGCGGAAACCACTGGAATACAGATTGCCTTTTAAACTGCTTTATTAATTTCACAATATGAAATTTTAATTGTCTTCCTAAAAATGGGTACAATTGCCCTGCTGACAGAAATTTCCAGACTGACACAAACCAATATTCGATTAGAAACTGGTAAGCGGAAACACCAAAAGGTTGGCAGCTAAACTACATCATAGCAACACAAGTTGTAAAGCAGTTTGCAAGCAGAGGGCCCATTCTTAACTCTAGGGCTAACCTTGATATGACTTAAGGTATAAGGCAAAAGTCATCATGATTATCCGGTTCAGGAATTTGAGAGCGCATATAATGCCTCATCTGCTGCTCCCTGATCTTTCTCCTGGCTTGTATCATCTGCCCTGCGACCCTTTCTGCATCATCTCCCCCTTCATTGTGCACAACATGCTTATTGGACAATCCCCATCGAAAATTTGGGGCAAGTCTCCAGACCCGCCCCTGCTTAACATTTCCTCCAGGCTCGCCGGCTTCCCGCCCTCCCAGAGGGCGTTTTTCTTCACCCTTCGCAGAGGTCGGCTTTCCTCTCTCACTTTCATTTTCCTGGTGGACATCTTCCACGTTGAGATTTTTCCCCACCTGTTCCTCTTTGGACGCCATTACTCCTATGAGACAAAGGCGAGAGAAGGGACTGAATGCCACTGGAGTCGTTAAGTACTGAGAGCCTACTATGGACCCCTCACAATTCCAAACGACCATACTCAGTCCACTGCCATGGAGTCAATTCCAATTCACAGCGACTCTATAGGGCAGAGTCGAAGTGCCACTGCGGGTTTCCAAGGCTGTAAACCTTTATGCGAGTAGAAAGCCTCATCATTCTTCGATGGTGCGGGCTGGTGACTTCCAACTGCTGGCCTTGCAGTTAGTGGTCCAAGGCGTAATCCACTACACCGCAGGGCTCCTATCCCATTCATAGCAAAGCTATATTGGGTTTCCGCAATTGAAATCTTTACCGCAGCTGACAGCCTCATTTTTCTCCCAGTGGAGTGGCTGGTGGGTTTGAACTGGCAACCTTGAGGTTAGCAGCCCAATGCTTATCCTACATTTTGGGGGCTTTGTTTGGTTTTTAAATTTCATTTTTCCCACCTGAGTGACTAGGGCGCCCTCTAGGGGACTCCCAGTCCTCCTCTTCCCTCCCTCCCCCAAGCCCACCATTTTTCCTGTCTCTCCATTGCCAGGCCTCTGCAGACATCAAAATGGAGGATGGGG